GTTTTAACAGCTTATATGGGAACGTGCCTTCGCAATGCTGCTCTCGTTAGTAGTGACCTCACCCGCATCTTTTCTTGTGACCTCACATGCACCACATGCTTGTGACAATACACACGAAAAAACAAACCCGCTAAATGAGACAATTTAAAACCACCAAAATGTAGTTCTTCCTCGATCATGTTTACACCCTAATGAAGATCTGTAATCTCCCGGACCATATTTTTCAGACCATTGGGTGGACTGTATTATTTGGCACAATATCAATGAATGAGCCTGTTTTAAAATATTTTCAAACATAACGTGGTTCACAACAGTGAGAATTCTATCCTGTCCGTCAGTTCGTATCACACCCGTTTTGCTAACAATTGGCGAATGATGGGAAACTTAAAAAAGGAAGAAAAAAAAGACGGGCTCTGCACTGACAGAAGTGGATTTCAGTGACTCCGTCTTGCAGCAAAGAATCAAAATACAGGTTTTAAATGTATTTTTAATTAGCTGACTCCATTATGTCATCCTCTTCATGTGAGAAAGCCAGTTTTCATTTGGAAGTGAAGTAATATCAAGGCACACTGGCTCATCCCTCTGCTTCAGAATGCACCAAACAAACAGACTTTTTGATTAAAACTTTCCATCATTAAAGACTCCCTCATCTTATTAGCTTGAATAATTGATTTAATTTGTCGCACACCAACTCCCTGCTCTCACCACTTAGTTAATGAATTAATTGATTGAGCGTTTGCGCGCGCACGTGCTCGTGTGCTTGTGCGCGCGTGCGGGTGTGTGTGTGTGTGTGTGTGTGTGTGTGTGTGTGTGTGTGTGTGAAAGAGAAAGAGAGATAAGTCACCTGTCTGTGTGGCCGTTCTACTTGTTAATTTAAGAATGGACCTCTGACGACAATACTGAAATGCCTCCTGGAACCAATGTGTTTCCTCACCCAACGTAAGGTAAGAGCGTCCCCTTTTGGATACAAAATGCACATTCCCCAATCGCCTCTTACTGAGAAATTGGCTGCTTTTCAAACTGTGAATGCCATTACTAAATCCAGTCATCATCCCATAGCGAACGACTTCATATATTTAGTCCAACCATGACAGTTTTATGTGCGTTTGATTAAACATCACAGCAATGTTTGTTTTTCTAATTTTGCGCCAGCCCTTAAATCCTCAACAGCTCTTTATATGTTTAATAAACCCCTTATTTATGGGAGTTGTGTGCACCTGTTGTTACCTGGCTCGCTGAAAGATATGTGACACACACGCACATAAATCTGTGTTTTGATTTTGCGCTATTTTATCGTGCTTGTACACACGAGTAGTGTGTATGTGTGTGTGTGTGTGTGTGTGTGTGTGTGTGTGTGTGTGTGTGTGTGTGTGCGTGTGTGTGTGTGTGTGTATATATATATATATTCATTTACATTTCCTTTTTTTACCCGTCTTAATATTCACTTGCAATTTAGTCGGATTTTATTTCTCGTATTAGTCACTATTATTTATTAACAAACATTAATACATATATTTATGATTAATATGATTTTATAACTATTTGATTAATACTGACAAAAAACAGTTCACAGTTATTTAAATCATTTTAAACTGATTTATGTTGGTTATTAGGATTTTTAAAAATCCGATTTTTTTTTTATTATACTGTAAAATTAATAGTATATAAAAATACATCTACTGTAATCATCACGGTATTTCTTTCAAAGTGTGTGTGAGCGTATTTGTGGGCGCAAGAGAAAAACTCCAAATTCGCGTCCTGGCTCTTTAAATGCACAGTGCCGTCAACCCAATTGTCGTGCATTACTTTGCGACACCATGTGATTTTCGGCATGTTATATCTGTGAGCGAAAGCATCCGCATATGGTTGAACACATACAAAAACGACAGTTAATAACGTGACACGTAGACTGTATGTCACAAACATATTTTTGAAGGTGGAAAAGGGCGCCGGGGTGTCGCATGTAAGTAACCTCGATAGCTTGCTCTATAGTTAAAATGACAGGACTGCTAATACAATATATTAGCCTGCAAGTGAGTTATATGACAATGACAATAAAGCTTCTGTTTTTCGACTGTGATTTAGTTGCATTTGACTAACCAGGCTAGCCTTTTGCTCACCAAAGTGTCGGATGTAATTTGCATTTAAATGGGAGCGAACCGTAATCTAACCGACGACAAGGCAAAATCGTAATTACAGTAAATGTAATGTTTATGTTTTCAGTCTGTGGATTCTGCTAACAAGACATCCAGTCACCACATGATGCAAACAGGGGCAGCCAACACGACAGACAAGACGTCGTCTGACAGGGGGCTCCTGTAGCCCACCCATGCCTGTGATCCCCATCCCTCGGCGGGTGCGCAGCTTCCATGGCCCCCACACCACCTGCATGCACTCGGCGTGCGGAGCGGCGCACGCCACCAAGCTGGTGCGCAGCAAGTACAACAACTTTGAGCTTTACGGTCGCTCACGCTGCATCTACAGTTTCCTGCGCTTCCTGCTCTACTTCGGCTGCAGCCTGCTCACATCCCTCCTCTGGGTGGCGCTGTTGGCACTCTTCCTCACGCAGTACGTAGGCGTGCGTGCCCTCCTGCGTCTGCAGTACAAGCTGTCCGTTATCCTCTTCCTGCTCGGCCACAGACGCCTGGACTTCGGCGTCGTCAATGACCTGTTCATCTACAGCATGCAGATCACCATGTTCATGGTGGGTGGGCTTGGATGGTGCTTCATGGTCTTTGTGGACATGTAGCTGGGATGAAGGCGAGGCTGCGAGAACTTGAAACGGTCCAATCCAGATACTTTGGGTGCAGCTGGAAATTTTCAGCATCGCAAAGTTTGGTGGTTTTTCGCCAGTTGTTTGAGTGTCAAAAAGTACCACTTATGTCACTTTAACGAGTTTGTGGATTACATGTTTTGAAGATTTTTGTAACAGTTCCTCTGAGGTTTTTGGAATTGCATGTTGGACTGCTCAAATGCTCTCAAGGGCCATATGTAGCCTGAAGTTGTTCACCAGTGCACCCACTGAATGTCAAATGGAAAAAAAGATTTTACGTGCATTAAAATGGACTCTTAACTGGAATTAAAACTTCCAAGTGTCTGTCGTTTGTGTCTTATAGTGTACACGGGTTCATTCAGCCCAGTGAGCATAAAAAATGTTTAGTGATGACCATAGAACAGGAAGTTGAGTGTTTTGCATCATAGGAAACCATCTGGCTGTTCAGTATGAAGTAAGCAATCAAATTAGAGAAAATTATATTGGAGTTAAAGTGTCAAGATTTCTGCGAATCTTGCAAGACTTCAGCCCTGTGAGTGCCAAAAGCACAAAGATTTTTTATGATGTCATCACAGAGGAGAACTAATGAAAACGGGAAATGGAACTTTTCGGAAATGGTATAGTATCTGCCTGTTTCAAATACGACATATGCAAATGATTTTGCCTAAGCTTGTGCTAACCTGCATACGCTTGTTTATTGCAGCAACACCTGCTAAATGCCACTTGGTGACAGTATCGCTCTGTTTTGAAGGGTTGGTAAATTTATTGCACAGTGCTTAAGTCTTGCGTGTAAAATGTCTTAATGATGGTGACCGAATGAATGTCATTTCCTTTGTTATGAATAACAAGTTTGATTGTACATCATCCACTCCAATGCATATTTTGTTCAAAATAATGTAATGCCTACATCGCCACAGAAACATACTTGGACATGTATCTCAGGTCTGTTTTACATGCTTTGTGGCGCCTCATGTCACATGCTTTGAAAGCCAAAGGCCGTCTTTGTGTGGACAGCCGTGAAGCATGTGGTTGATGTGTATGTGTCATCATGTGATGCCATGTAAGCAATTAGCCGAAGGCACAGAAAGGGTAACATTTCACAGTTGTGTTCATTTATAAACGGTTTGGATCATTTCACATAAAAAAAAAATATATAAATTCATATACCATTTCTGCTCGTCCTCCTGCCCCTCCCTCATCTTTGCTTTTCGGGTGCAAGGCAGTCCGGGGGCCTGACAAAAATCACTTCCATCGGCGCTTACTCTGTCAATATTTCAAAGTTAGCATCAGCCGTCAGCAAAAACAGGATCTCCGGTCGGTACTGACGGACAGGTAATGACAGGTGTAAACGCCCACCTCTGCCTATACTGCCGTTTCTTAGCGAGCAAATCATTGCATGAGCTAGATTTTTGCTAATAAATGTTGTCTTAGTATTATAAGACTATAAGAATATAAAACAATTTGTCCACACAAGTCTGAAATGATGAAAACGTCCCTGTCAGACATAAGATGGATAATCATGTTGTTTGCCGTTATGCCGTCTGTACTCACTGTACACCGTAGCCTACATGAACTCAAAAGCAACCACAGTTGGTGATCATGAAGTCATGCTACTTTTGTTTTCATTTCTTCTTTTTCCCGAAAAACAGAAGTTGACCTCTCAGAATGCTTTGTTTCATGCTGTGTCATAACTATTTCACTTATTTGTCATAACTAGTTTACCAATTGCATGGGAATGCTGCGTAAAGGTTGGTGAATATGGCCTACTGGTTCACGAGTCAGAAAATACGATTATAAAGCAAAAGTGGTCGTGCCAAAAGCTTATGTTTATCATTGTTACAAGTGAAATGTTAACGTGTTCTGAAATATAAAATCAAGTCACATTTAATAAAAATAAATAAATAAATAAAAGCAAACAAAATACAGTTACAAGAGTTCAAACTTTGTGGAATGTACACAAATATTAAATTGTTACAAGTAAAACATTCCAATGTTTAGTCTAAATTGAAATAATTTAGGTAAGTACACATATTCAATGTTCTGACCTATGAAACGGATTAAGATGATTAGAAAATGAATCTATCTATCTACAGTATCTCGCTATCTATCTATCCATCATCCATTTCTTTGTCCCTGGCTGCAGTGAGCCACGCCACCAGCAGCGGGCGCTACCACTTTTGCCAAAGAAGAAGAAGAAAAAAGACGCATGCGCAGAGAGTCGTTCGCAGCTGTCATCTGAGGACACGTGAGGTGGCTACACATGTCCACGTTATTCTCGCGCACAAGGAGTCCCTGTGCGGTGTCATTTATTCATCTTTTCACGAAAGCATAACGAAGACATACTTGGCCCAACGAAAGGCCACTTTCCGCGCTGTCATGACAGGGTTGAGAAGTGAAGTGAGGGGAAGGGGGAGGGGTGGTTCACCGGCTTCTTTTCACGCTCCTGAGTGCACCGAGTTCATGTGTCCGTAAAAGGCGGACCGACGAATACACCTCTCCCGTCGCGTTCGCTATCTTCCGCACAAACCGAGCTATATAGCCCCATTGACTAACCCCCACCCCAAACAAGAGATGTCTGCGTCTTTAAAGCGAAGCTCCGTTCGTGAAACGGGCCATGATGTCAGGCTGCCCCGTCAACTGCTCGCGTGAGCCGACTTCCACTTCCTGCGCAGGCGGCCAGGCAGCGGGCACTCGGAAGGCGAGCGTGGCCGAGGGAGGTGCGCGACGGACGTCTACGGAGGAGCAACAAGAACCGATAGAGAGGACGGAAGGAAGGAAGAACCGGCGGGCGCTCCATTTTTTAATCTAACTTCATTGGTCGTCGTCGCCGGCTGACAGTCCATGGACTAGCCACATATATTCGGGTAAATATATCCTGAATGTGTATGTTGTAACTACACTATCGTTTTGCTTTATGTCTGTGACGCATTGGTTGTGTGTCTTCGTTTGAATGTGCTGACATGACACTGCAGTGCTGCGTTCGAGTTTCAAAAGTCATTTCAAAATGGTTGCCCCGAGTTCTATTATTTTTGTTAAGCTGTAGTCATACTTTTAACCGTACGCGACCATACGAGGGGAAAGTGCCTTTTGACCAAAAACAAAATAAACAACAACAACAAAAAAAAAAACAAGGTTGCGTCACGTTGAAGTCAAAACAAAACCCAAATCTCCACCCACAGTGAACCGATTGTGACTTGGGAGTCCCTGCAATGCACAGGATCTCTGCTTTTCCCCATTTTTCCCACTGCAGTAAACACACCATCTCTTTGAATGGCTCCTTTTTGCACTCGAACTGTGCAAGTGTATTTGGGATGAAAAGGAGGTCTTAAATGTCACTTTTTGTGGCTGCTTTCACCTTGCTTGAACCCTGAGGTCATAAAGAGTGTGTGCGTCTCACAGCCACTAACATTGTACCTTCACCCTGGGGACGTTTCTCAAGAGACATTCTTACGGAGAAAATGTCACAATATTAGGCAGCGTGTGGCTTTCCTGTCCTCCCCCAAAGGGTTTTTTAAATTTTTTTTTTAAATCAATCACCTAATTTATTAGTGAGAACAATGTCAAGTGGACCATGTTTTTTTTCCAAGTTTATTGTGGCTCCATACAGTATAGTCACCTGAGTGTCTTTACATTTGTAGGTTTTCTGACTGGCGTAGAGTTAAGCACAGCCAAAAGTAACAAAAGTGCAGACTCTTGCGATTTTTATTTAGGGCCGGACCAATTAATCGCCCGACTTGCAAATTGTGCAAGGCATTGGCCCGGATGTCAGTATTTTACACACAACCCTAAAGTCACAGTGTGTTAAAAAATATAAAATAACACAGCTACTGTTAAGACAAACACATATTGAGGCGCTATAGGAATTCTGAGCCCAGGAATCTTTTTTATTTTTTTATTTTTTATTTTTTAGACTGTACAGTAATCAATCATTTATTGCAGAGGTTACGTTCCAAAAAGAACCTGTCATAAGTCAAATCCGTGAAGTAGTCATTTTCATTTTTTGCAATTATTGCATAAACAATACAATACTGTATTGAATGAAACCAAAGATGAAGCCTTTTTTTCAGGCCCAAACATGTAAAAAACAAAAATATAAAGATTTTCTAACAACTGGCAGTTTTGGGATATACTGTACAGAACGTTTCGTTGACATTGTCGCTTTTGTCATGGAGAAAATTTGGCAAGTTGTACAGCGATGAGGTGTGAAGACTGTTGACATTAGTCTACAGTCCGTTCGCCAATCAGGTTGCAGAACAGAATGCACTGTGTTAAAAAAAAACGTGAAACAGCAGAGCCGTGAAAGATGAACCATGTTATTGCGAGGGATTACTGTATAAGGCAGACACAGAGACGACTTTCATGTTTATGATTAACACACACACACAAGCACACACACGTGAATAAGTTCATGTGCTTTCTTGTCTCCTTTCTCGCTAAACCTTTCAGTGCCTTGGCGCTCCTCCAGAGGGTCGTGACGGCTCAAACTCTCGGCAGCTGTATTTATGTGTGCGTGTGTGTTTGTGTGTGTGCGTGCGTGTGTGCGCTAGCTGTGTCCCGGGATGCCCTTCCTCCATAGGCCTTGTACTATACAGCATTCCACGAGGGGGCCCAGGGAGAGGAGGAGGACAAGGAGGAGGAGGAGGAGGAGGGTGCAAAGGGGGGAGTGTCAAGGAGCGAGAACGACAGCACTTTTCGATCCCATTTGAGGCTTGAAAGTGCTCGTGAGAAGCACAGGAAAAATCTGTTGCAAAAAATTCCGGCTGTCTTATCTGCCTGGCAACAAAAAGTTACACTTTGATTAAAGTGCAAAATTCCAAACTGCGAGGATTACATTATAGACCACCCCCGCAGTCAGTGAAATCCACAGCATAGACGTTCCCGAGTTATATAACCATCACTACGGTGTGCCCCCCACCCCCCTGACAAAAATGAGTTTGACACCCTTGATCTAGAACAACAAGCGTAATTAACTGCACCCCTGAAGTTGACAAAATAGCGGGACTCTGAACTAGGAACCCGCGATGGTGGAGGATTTTACTGCACATCAATTGTAGCAGCACATTTTTTCATTAACTTAATGTGGCCCTCCTTGATTTATGTGTATGTTTATGCATCAGCCATTTTCCCTTCTTGAGACGCAGTGCTGACTCACCGTGGATGGCATGCGATATGCTGCAGCGGGCGGACGTCATGTTCTCATACAATGGTCTTGTATATTTCCTTGCCACGTGTGTGTGTGCGCGCTTGTGTGTGTGTGTTCGTGTTGTGTGTTTGTCAGTTGGTGCCAGTATAAGGTGTGTGCGTGCGTGGATGCATGCACACATGCATGTGTGTGTGTGTTAGGGCTTGTCGCTGGCTGCGAGTCAACTGCAAAGTCTTCCCACTCGTCTTTGTTTTCACTCAGAGTCACAGCGTACATACAGTATAGCTACGAATCTACTGTGTAGGTGTCGGCTGAAACGTGTGTTTCCACTGCATCTATTCTTTCCAGGCCCCTCAAGGTTTCTGTCACAATGGCATCTCATGAGAATGTGCAAGTGTACCCAGTGAAGCCACCCGTGAGTCTGTTTAATTAAAATGTTGTTGCTGTCTCGGTGTGGCATGGAAGGATGCTAATGATTTAAGAGGGAAATTGTCTTAAGGTACTTGTAATATCTGCTTGTTGGCTTGCAGGGCCTTCTTTTTACAATTTAAAACAGTGCCCAATTCTCTGACACCATTTAAAAAATATATATTCATGGATGAATGCGTTTCTTTTTCGAAAAGGTGAGCCACATGTAAACGAGTCACTGCTGACCCCGCCCCCTCCACCATGTGGTCAATGCCAGCTTTTGAAACAGTTTTTTCCCCATGATGAATGTGAAGCCAAGCTCAAGGGAATTTCTACCTGCTCAACCAAACAAAAGTCTAAAAACCTTTAGGGTTTGAGTACGGTTTAAGAGAATCCAAAATACGTTTTCTGAAAAGCAGGAGCCGAACCCTGCAGACTTTGGGCGAGAGACGGGGCGTACCCTGGACAGGTGGCGAGCTAATCGCAGGGCACATCAAGACATTCCCACCCATGTCCAAATGTATGCACAGTTCAGCCCAAGTTTCATGTTTTTGGAATGTGGGAGGAAGCCTCTCGCAACGGGATAACATGCCAACTCCCAACAGGAGGCTAAAGCCGAGCCTTGAACTCTGATGTGCTATCCAGAAGGCCACCGGGCTGCCCTAAAATCTTTGATGAGCTGCCTATTTAAAAAAAAAAAAAAGTTTGAGCAAGCCCTTCTGAAGTTTGCCGGTTTTGAGTGAAGTTTTACTAATTTGCGTAAGACTGCCCACCCCCCCACACCGATTTCCTCTGCTCATGTCTTGGCAGCTAGACTGAGTCAAGATTAGCCTTTTTCAAGTGACAGCTGCGCTACACAATGATGTGGCCTTGAGCCAAAAGCTCATCAGATGGCATGGTAACCAATGCACAGTCAGTGTTGCCCCCCCCCCAAGTCGAGGGCTGCCAGGTGAGACCCGTCTGAATTGCGTGAGACAAGGCCAACACTGCAAATCAGGCTGGGATAAGATGGTGACAAGTTTAACTGTAATTCTTGATCCTTGGTGTATTTTGACAATACATTACAACACATTTGACATGCTAGTAAGATACCCGGGAACACTTCTAAGATTCTTTAAGTCTCCTTGAATAAAAATGGTGACCAGAAGATGCATCTCCCATGATAGCATTGCCTTGAACTCTCAAACTGTGCTCATAGCGAGCGTCCCATTACCAAAACCACAGCAGTTGCTCTCTTCTTTGAATCTCTAGTCCAGGTGGCGTAGTTTGTATTCTCGGAACTTTATTACACGCGCTACTTTTTTTTTTTCTTTTTTAAAGAGGAAAGACAGTAGACACACACTTCTGGCGGCCATGTATTTCGCAAGATCATCAAGCAGTCCTACACGTATGTGGGATAATAAAATTGCTATTGATTGGGATTCCTGAAAGCAGGAGTACTCATTTTTCAATCCTCAGACACTCTGGTCTGCAATTCACTTAGGGTTTATTATCATTTTTTATTGTTATTTATTTTTTTGCGTTTTGTTGAATTTTAGAAAAACAGGCTCAGCAAAAAAAGCTATGAGGCTTCTTGAAATGTGGCCCGTTTGGCTTTTCTTGCCATGGTGTGCTCCTTTCAGGAAGCATTCCAAGATGACAGACAATGAAACGGTAAACAAAAAGTGAAATGCAAAGTTTTTATGGTTTTTGTTTGGTTTATTTTTTTTGGTCATGGAAATGTTAGAGAATCCTCACAGCTAAATGTCATCCGGCAAGAAAGTCTCGACAAATGCATCCGCTCAGTGCGAGCGTTTTTTGCGTGTGCGTGTCAGCTCTCTGCTAAGTGACATGTTTGGCCATTGGCGTGATGCCAAGCTAGCGCAATCACATGGCATGAAATGGCGTGCCTGCGTTTGTGTTTTGCGTTCTTGTGATGCCGCATGTCCGGGCGTTCGCGGCTGGCTGGGGGAATGAAAGGATGGGGAGAGGAAAAAGAACAGGAGAGAAGCGGCGGAGGAGGGGGAGCGTGTTGCCTGCTGTGTGATTGTGCGCATGGGGTTGATTGTTATAAGTATTTTCAGCATGAATAGACAGCATGTAGCATGCGTTTAGTCCAAAACAAGTCATGAGATTGTCCTCAAACGGAACGGAAAATTGAATTTTGCCACTTAATGACACTTGAAAGTCCAAAAAATGTGCCATTTAATTTGAAGCGCATTAAAAAAAAAAAAAAAAAAAGTCATCAATCTCATATAGCCTAATTTTGTTGTCTTGTGATCCTTAATAAATCTTCAGCGATTGGTTATGCCATGCATGTTATACATAAAATGTCGATCTAAATGTTTATACAACCCTGCTGCAAACAAAGACCATGAGCGAGCAATTTACACCCCTTAAAAAGTTTATGATTGCCCATTTATGCCAGAGGTTGGTGGCAATGCACTCCTTTTCTAGTTGGGCTAAGGCCTGACTAAATGAAGCTCCAACCCTCACTTCACCATAGTTCGTTGGCACCAAATTGCGCGCAAAACTACACGAGACAGGGCGTTCATATAAATCCGGACCAGGTGAATTCGCAAATTTGCCATATTTCTTGGACTCTGCATTTTTTTTTTCCCATTGATGTCACAATCCATATTTGAGTTTGATTATCTCCCACCCCCCGTTTGAAATCACATTGCGACTCACCATACATTGTCACGTACACGATATCCATGATGTCGTTGGCATCACGATACATCAAAGATAATTGTCACACGTGTAACTGAAGATCCGTCTCCTTCGATCCATCTCTATCTTGTCCAAGTATTGTCTTGGTAGTCCTGGCAGCAGACGGTAAGATGCCTGACTCTGCACATTTCTTTGCATCTTTTCAGCTGCAGTGAGGCGACTCTCAATGAAAGTAAAACCTATAATTTGGAATGAAATGCCCGCGGATGCGCACAAAGAAAAGCAAGAAAAAAATAAAAACCCTGGCCTTAGTCACCAGGACATTAAGTAGGCAGCAAGAATTAGCTTGCGCGAACGGCATTTTTCCTTGCAGCCCACCTCAATTTTCCGGGCTCTTGTGCTGCGCGCCGTGCATAATTAAATTGCCGCAAACTTAGAGCCTCACTCAAGGCTTGTGCTGGTAAACAGAGCCTGCAAATTAGCGTGTAAAGTAATAAGCGCGGGAGGCTAATTGGCAAAGATGCTTCCTATATACTGTATGTGCTCCTGCTGGGAGCAGCCCTGTGGATAGTGTCAGGAAATCAAAAGGCAGCTTTTCGCAGTTGGACAGTCGACATTGTCATTTGCATACTGGAGTCAAGAAAGCCGATGCATTGATGACGTCTTTCTGTCAAGTCCTTTCTGTCAGCATGACCTTTGTTGATATACACAGACTGGTACCGGTAATCCAAATGCTCCGCATCAGTGCTTCCTCAGTTAGGATGCGCACCCGGACACCTTTCTGTATGGTCCCAGACCTACTTTATACAGAACAGCTTTGCGAGCAAAGCGTAGTAGAGCGGGTGTGTACAAGGTAAGCAAGTGGTTCCAAAAGAAGCACATGTGAAGCATATATGACCGTAAAACTGTGAGCATATGCTCCTCTCTCTCCTGAGAATGTAATTTCATCTGTGCTGTATGTTGCGCATGTCGCACATTTTGGCAATAACGTTGACTTGACTTCTGCTGTAATGTCCCTGACAGAATTCTAAAAATAAGGACATTTAGATAAATTGTTCAGGTACTGAATTTCTCTGGTTTGTCAGCTGTGTGAACGTGATGTGGTCAAAAATGTCACTAAATGAAGTGCTGATGCCACCAAGGAAAAAAAGTTGGGTGCACTCGTTTAACCAGTACATGAAGTTAGCTTAGCGCACCCTGAGACCGTTTAAATGGTTTGCTCTGAATGTTTTCGTTCGATTTGCATGTGTCCCGTCGGTTCATCGGCACGCTCTCATTCATTAATGAGGCGTAGCAATGTACACCCGCGCTAATGCTTGCTGGCGCAACGATGCACTTCAGCTAACAGCAATCCTCTCACGCCGGTGCTCTTTTTGTGCTATTTAATTTCTTGTTTATGCGGACATTTGCTACGTCTGCAAGGAATTTATAGAGACGAACCACCGGCATCAGATACTCGTTTCGACTGCCAGAATTGACAACGAGATCAGCAGATCAAGTTTGGATCTCTCGATGCAAACTGTCTACTGCATTATCTTGCGATTGAGAGATTGCAGCTCGCTTGAAATCATTACATGTACATAAATACACAGAGAGATATTTCTGATGACTACAATTTATGGGGGGATCTACATTTCATTGCAAATGTTCAATATTAAGAATTGAAAGGCAATTGCACTTAAAATGGACTATTTTTGCATCACTATCACTGGCATTAAAATAAATAAGGATGTCCATCGTGATCATTTCTCATAAAACATATCCTCTGGAATGTTTTTTTTTTTTTTTTTTTAAGTCGTGACAGAGCTTGAGTTATTTTGTCATATCTTTGGCCACATTCAAGTTGTTTGATCTTCGCTTAACGTTTTTGCATTGTATGTAACCAACTCAAGGGACTCTTTTGAAGCACTCCGAACCCGTGATTTGATATTTAGGCTGAACTTCCAAAGGGTACAGTCATAATTCGGAGCAGTTACTTGAGTTAATGGAAGCCTCAGGACACTTGAACATAGCATGTGGGGTGATTTATTTATTTTTTTTCCTGTTTTTTATCAACGTGAACACTCAACAGGCCACGCCTGTCCCTTTCTCAACATCCTCCTGTGATGCTAATCTCATTTCCATGTGTCTTTCTGATGCGTGAAGACAGAATATGCCTGTTTTTTTCATTTGCATGCTAAAAATGAGATAAAAGGAAGTCTGTTACATTCATTCATTCATTTTTCATAAACACTCCTGGAAGGCCATTGTAAGTGTGCAAAAAAAAAAAGAGGAAAATGTAGATGTGCTGACCTGATTTGATCCAAAAATCCATGCGTATGAAAGGCCAGGAACATTGGCCAAGCCTTTTTTTGG